TCCCCGAATTCCCCAGCCAGCCATGGGGAATTCTGGGAGTTGAAGTCCACTCATCTTAAAGTGGCCAAGTTTGGACAACACTGCACTAGATCTATGGTTCTAACAGAAAGAAAGAGAATTTTTGCAAGGAAACAGAAAAAAAGAGAATATCTGAACAAGTGAGCACATGATGGCACAATGCATTGTCTTCTTCCGAGAACCAACACTCCAGCAATGCAGATGTGAGACTATTTTCTAGAATGATTTGGGGAAAGCAACTGTAACTGAATGAGTTAAAACTGGTTTTGATTCTGGCTATAATGACAGGAACTTGGAAGTAGAGGCAGAGGTGGTAGATTATGTCCTCCATACCAACTAGCCTGCAGAGTAATTAGGGCTCACTTTATAGAATACTTTGAATTGTCTTTTCCAACTAATATTTTGTCACAAAATGAGTGTTCATCTCATAAAAGCCAATTAACATGGAGCAGTATAGTACTGAGATGACATTACAACAGCACTGTTTTATACCTGGCTGAAACTTACATTAAAAGATTTAATGTTAAAAGATTTTTCCGCAGCCTATAAACAGAATAAACCAGCAGGTTAAGGAAAAAAACTCTATAAAGATTTTAACATGTGGCCAAGTTAAAGCTGGAAGCTTGTTAAATTGTCAGGCTACTAAACTTTGGGTTTTTTCATTAGCTAAAATAGTTAATTTGACATTGCAATGAGCACTAAGAAACAAGAGGGATATCCCATTGTGACGCCACAACACTAAAATGTAGATAAAGATAAGAACAACTGAAATAGTGAGGGATAGTCCCTGCTGCAGGGAAAATATTTAATCTATAAACTGACATTTAGTTGGCTTTGCTAGAAGAAAACTGCAAAGAGCCATGGATAATGTTGTCTTGGAAATAGAATTCCATTATGACACAATATGATTAGTAAAATTAATGTCAAAATACTTTACTGCAGGAATCAGAGACATTGCCTTTAATCCAGCCTATAGATGTTGAAGCAATCAATAACAGGATGGACATCTAAGGGTTGCATCCAATGGTCACTGGTATCAGTGGCACTTCCACAGATATAACAGGCAAGATTGGGTCATGAAAACAGCATGGATTTGTGCACTGTACAATGTATAATACAATGGATTTTATTCTGGCTTAGCACAGCCTTCTGCAACCTTGGTGCCCACCAAATACATGGACCGACTCCCAACATTCTAAAAAAATGGCTATGATGGTTGGTGAATTCTTGAAGGTGAAGACCATGTATCTTACAGGTATACTGAGGAAGGCTAGCCATATCAAATCTAAGAAATAGCCAGCCATAATACACTGATTTTCCAAAGGTCGTAATTCCCTAAGTACCTTTCCTTAATAACAATAGGGGTTAACAATAGTAACACCAAGAAATGCAGAGTTCATCCTGTATAATTTTGTCAAGGCAGTGTGAAGCATTGGTCTGAGAACAAAATATCCTACTTCATGTGGCTAATGCATTAATAGTGGAAGTCTTATATGTGGGTTGTCAGGAATTTGTTTGGGGGATAAAACAGTATCAGAAACTAGGAGTTTTACTAGCAGCTAAAAGTGTGAAATTGATAGACACCTCAGACAAAAAATATAGTTGTACTGATAGATTTCCTTAATGAAATGTTCTAGAATAAGTAGCCTGTATAATCAGCTCTGTAGCAAGGTGAAAGCTGTTTACCCCAGGAGCTCAAAGATGACTACAAAGTTGGCATATAAACACCAGGGGGCAGTACTATATAGTAGTACTATAATACAGCAACTGGAAGTCAAATCTGGTATACTCCAATGCATTTCTTGCTGACAGATAGCACGGTCACTTCTAATTTATAATTTTCTGCATAATGGATAGTGGGAACATTTTTAGTAGAAAAAAAGAGATGTGGTTCTATCATCCTGTTAAAGCATTGAAGGATTACTATTTTGAGGGGGAGGGGAGGGTAGCTATGTTGGGATTACGATTCCTAGAATTTCCTGCCAACTTGCAGGGCACCAGAGTTGTGAAGTCACTTACAAGGCTATTATGTTGCTTGCCACCAGCTGTAAACGTACAGAGACACATAGAGGCATGCATGATTTGGTTCACACATAAGAGTTCCCCCATTGGGGGGAGATGGGCGGTTGACAAATTTAATAAATAAATAATAAATAAAATAAATAATGCTATGCTGTAATGTATGGTAGTTGGTTTATTTTTAGATTAGCATGATATGTGAACCCATCAAGTATGGTTTAGATTTATGCATGCAGCTATCTCTTGTTCAACAAGCATGATTAAAATCCTCTTTCAGCATGGGATGTGAACTAAGCCATAATCTCCGTGTAAAGGAGTGTTGACATGGCTGTCTTCATTCAGGCAACCACAGCTTATTTAAAAAAAAAAAATCAGGGCAGTACAGGTAGGTAGTGATTAGTGCGAGTTTGAATAGTGTGAAATTTGACTTGATGCGATTTATAAATTGATACTAGGTTGCATTTCATGTGAGCCAAAATTCAGTTAGTGCGAGGCTAGCGCCCATGCAGTTGCTGTTGGGGTTTTAGATGCTAATTGTCATTTGTGCAAAATGGAGATAAGGAAGATTCCATTAGAGGAAAGCTCCAAAAAGAAAAAGCTCATTTTGAAGAACTACAGCAGAATACAGGAGATGCAGGTATGCTTTGGATATGGGTTTATCCTCTTTTACTATTATTTACTATTACTATTTCATTGATAAACATTTATGTTTTAAAATTTTAATTGCCTATTTCTGTTGAGATGGGACCAACTACCCTATTTGCCACAGAAGTATCACTTCAAATAGTGTGAATTCAAATGATGCGGCCATGGCATAGGATTCATTAAATGCACTAATTGAGACCTCTCTGTACAAATGGTAAAGTCTGTATCAACTAACTTCATACTGAGGTACCGTTTCATAAAGATGCACTTCTGGATGCCACAAAAAGCCCTCAACAGATAAATTATTCCCCAGATGACCACACTGGAGGTTTCCGTTGTATTCACAGCATTATTCAGGACAGAAACCCATTTAAGCAGACACTTGGCTTCCAGCACACCTACCTCTATTGCTTCTTTTTCAGTGTGTATCTTCCTGCCAGTAAGTAACCTAAAGTAAGGAAATAAAACTTAAAACAGGATCCATTGCTACTGTATTTATCCTGTCCTTTAGAAATATCAGCTGTAATTTTTTTCATGGAACGTTTTGGTGAAAAATATCAATCTTTTAATGCCCAATGGGATAAAATTGGTAAAATTTCTTTGCCCCAGCTATTTAACCACTCTCTTGTCACATTCTATTCAATGCAGTAGATATATTATTGAAAGTATGGTATCTTGTGGCTATCACGTGGCTTAATGGAAGTTCAAGGCGTATTTTTTAAGGAAACTACCAATAATTCCATAAGCTTACCACAATTCCCCAAAGTATAATTCTAGCTCCTGCCCTTTCAGCCTTTGCACTGGTGTTCAGAGTCCTATCATCTTTTACAGTTGTCCACTCAAAAGAATTTTTCAGCTACCCTAGCTTCAGAGAGACTTGAGTTGAATTCCCAAGGGAGACTGAACGGCTTCGTTGAGTTAATTATTTCAGGAATTCAAAACTGATTTTTTTCTGCTGAAGTGTCTCTCAAAAGCAGATCTAATTTATTTCTGAAGTAATTTTGTCACTAAACTAGCCGTTTTGATTACAGGAAATGTTCTGGAACATGTTGGCCCCAAAAACAAAGCCACTGATGTACATGTAGACATTCTGATACTTCATCTGTATGTAAAAATATATATTCTCCAAATCCTTGTAGTTAACAATCCCACTAAAGATAAAACTACATGTTACACTATTTACATACTGTGTAACTGACATTTGTACTTTTTTAAAAAAAAATGTATTAGAGTACAGTAAGCGTATAACATCTTTATCTAATCTTATACACAGATAAGAGGATTAACAATTTTCCTGCATAAAATTATTTCTGAATTCCCTTGCCACATGAAATATTTTTTTTAAAAAAAACCATCCAGAAGAGAACAGAGAAATGTACCCATGTCTTTAAAGAGACACTAATTTACTATTTTTAAATCAACAATCAAGTTTATAAGTATTTTTTAAAAGTTTGATTTTGAGAGGGCAAGAAAACTCCCAAGCTGCCGCCACCGCTGCTGCTGCTTCCTCTTCTTCCTCTTCTTCTTGTTGTTGTTCATTATAAAGGTAATTTAATACATTGAACAGTGAAAAACTTTATTCTAACTCTTTGGAAAATTTGTAAGAAAATAGCACTCACTCAGCCTCAAACTGATTTGGTGTTATTATATCTGCTACAGGTACCACATTATCCTTATACACTGGAAGGAGATCCTCTGGAACATACTGTAAAACAAAGGAAGTCATAATGACTTTAGAAGGTTAGGCAGTTCATTCTAGAAAAGTGAAAAAGATTCAAATACAAACACAGGCATGGACAGTTCCACTCAATTAACTGGTAGGGAGAGATTCACAAACTCTACCACATTTAGAAAGTTTCTATGTGAAGGAATGTCGAAACAGATGTTGACAATCCCCAACATAATGTTGTGAATGCTCCAAACTACATACACAGTCTCCTATTTTTCAGGCATCCATGTTCAGCTCTTCAATATATATATGCAAAATCTGTATGGATTTGTATGGATATGAGGTTCATAGTAGCACCATTCTGGATATTTGCTAATGCACACGCACACCTCAGAATGGAAAACTTTAAAAAGGTCAGAGTGGCCTAAGGAAAACTACTCAAATTCATTGACAAGTCACTTTCAGTAAACAGATTTTCATGGAAAGCAATCATCATGCAGCCATGCTTCAAGCAGTCTCATTCTTCTGTCCATTCATGAAAACTGGGGATTAGTTTCCTGTTCTAAAACAGTTTAGTCTTAAGCAGTGTACTGAAGAAACAGAAGTGCCTATGTATATCTTTTGCAGAAAACTGGCACTGATCTGTTCTAGAATGAACATGGAAGGGCATTTTCTTGGGATTGTCTGGTGAATGCTGTACACTGAGGTGTCTGTTATGCCTAAAACATACAATATATTGTAATGTGTGGTTACTTTGGCATAACACATTTGTTTATAAAGGTGGGCCAAGTTTATAATGGATTACCAACCATATAGCCTTCCCCGCTCCACTTGTCACCCATCACAGGATCACACACTACAAGAGAAAAATAAAACTTAATCATAAGAAGGGAATAAGTAGTATCATATAAGAATGCTTTTAAAATTAGCAATAATCAAAACAAAACTCTGCCAGGCTTATTTCAAATTTTGATGCTACTTCTTGCACATTGTTATTGAATCACCAATGCATGGTCATAGGGTGTCAGGGAGAGCTCCTATAATGACATAATATCACATTACATGGCAGTGGTATCCATTGCTTTAAAAAATTGCTTGGTTCCTGTCCTGTGCTGAGAAGTGGATCTCTGTAAAAGCAATACCATAAAAAGTAGCAGATGATCATTTGTCCATTTTCACATGGTTCCATAAGACGACAAGCAGAATTACAAGGAGTATCTACCTTAAAATATCAGAGAAACACTTCTCAAGCCCTGACCAGCCAAGTGGCCAGAACAACAGGAACAGTCCAATGTCCTACCACAACTTTTCCAAATGTGACAGCCTTTCATAGTTTTGAGCTATTGTTTCCCTGGCTAATGACAGTTGGGGGTAATGGTTGTAGCAGTTCATTATAGCTGGGGGGAAACTGGTTGGGGAAGACTGTCCTAAAATAGCATGATGGAATGTGTTATTTCTTCAAAAGCAATAAACTGATTTGATCCAACACAGCCTTATTTGAAAACTCAAGCATAGTATGCAATAGTTACATATAGTACAAGTTTCTCAATGACTGCTTCATTCAAATTCTCTTTAGGCTCTGGCACTCAGTTGTCTCTTTAACATGAGAAGAGATATGCCAATGTAATAAGTGGTTAGTTGCCACTTGTAACATCAGATAAGGTTATTGTCTTGCTTTCTGGTGCTATATTCATGAGCAAATAGCAGTTAAAAAGGGAAAGTAATTTAACAGATTTATCTCAAGTCCCGGCTAATGTCACAAAATCCAACCTAGTCTGTGGCACTTTTGTGACTTTCTTGTACTACTCATATACCTTTCTGAAGCCCATGGAAAGTTTTCAGGAGACCTGTTAATACTAGATGGAGATTTGTTGATTTATTAATTTAAAAGATTTATAAGGCTACCCCCTCACAATTTTTTACTCTAGGCAGAGTACAAAAGAAAAACTTAGAAAGAATGAATGCAGTACAAAAAAATCAAAAACATAATCAATACATAATTGAGACTGGTGATAAAAACATCTACCATCCTAGCCCAGTGCACAGGAGAAAGGCCAGTTCTTCATGGCTCTAGGGAGGGCCAACAGGGTCAAGGTCATCCAAACCTCAGGGGGAACTCATTCCAAAGGGTAGGCGTAATAATAGAGAAGGCACATACCCTAGGTCCCATTAGATGATACTGCTTCAGAGAAGGGACCTGGAGCATGCCCATTCTGTGCAACCTAGTGGGACATTCAGAGATGACAGGGTAGAAGCAGTGATCAGATCCTATGTCACGTAGGGCTTTATAGATAATAACCAGCACTTTGAATTGCACCTAGACACCTATTGGGAACCAATGCAACTCACAAAATAATGACGTTATGTTGGCATAGCAAGGCACAGCCATTACTAGCTGTGCCACCAAATTCTGGAGCAGTTGCAGTTTCTGCATGGTCTTTAAGGACATTATCATGTAGACCACATTGCAAAATCCAACCAGGAGGTGACTAAGGAAAGAGTGACCATAAACTGGGCCTCCTGATCCAGAAATGGATTCAGTTGGCACACAATATGAAGTTACTCAAAGGTGCTCTGGGCTACAGCTTCCACCTGCTCCTCAAGCAGGAATCATGAGTCTAGGAGGACCCCCAAATTGCAAACTGGCTCTGAGTGAGGGAGTGCAACCTGCCCAGAACCAAAGGGGAAAATCTCCAGAGCTGGATTATCCAGTTCTGCCAGATTATCCAGTCCCACTGGATCCAGCAATGGCTTGAGGAGAAGCTGGACTACCACTTCCCTCAAAGCCTGCAGAATCACATTTTGAAAATATTTTAAGTAAATGTGTTTTTTTGAACGGTAATTGGAGTGTTTTTTGAACTATAATTAAGGAGTACATTTTTGCTTTCATCACCAAACTAAGGGTTGCAAGCCAAAATGACTAATACTAATTCCTTATCAGCAAAAACTCCTCTAAAAAGTCTCAGAAACTGAGGAATCTCCAAGAGTATATAATGAATTGCAATAGCTTTTTCAACTTGGTGCTCTCCAGAGGTGTTAGTCATCAATACCTATCATCCCCAGTTGACATATAGCAGGCATCCCTTTGGGAAGGCTGACATAAAATGAATTGTTTATGTATCATAAACTTACCATATACCAGATTGGAGTTTTGTTGCTTTAGCTCTTGAACAATATCAACCACCATTGCAAGGAATGATTTGTCCCGTGTGTAGCCTTTGATAAATTGAGAAGGGGAAATTAAGACTGTGTAAAACCAGTTGATATGAAATACAACTGGCTTGAAGCATTTCTATTGCCATAACTAGCATTTCAGATAACTTTCTCTCAACCTATATTACACAGGATTTGTGTTAGTATGACAAACTGTAATCTGTGCCCATGGTAAATATCTCAATGACTGATTCCTTATGAACCATCATAAACTTTTTGAGATTTGGGGAAAACTATTGACCAGCTTTAGTTTAACAATTCTTTCATTTGCCCTATAGTTGTATTTGATGAGCTTTCTATATAGGAATGGATGTGCAATGATGCTCCCAGTTCTAGATGAATAGACTAACATGCACATATAGACTCTCATATCAGGCCTCTAAGCTGTTTTCCAATATATTAGCTGTATCATGTTGACTTTTTTGTCTGTGTTAATAACATACTGCCAGAGATGATAATCTTATTTTTATCTTGATTCATTCAGTTAGTCCAGGTGTGGAAGACAGAAACCTTTACCGACGGCAAAGATGTCTCGCTTTCACCAAATAAAACAAGGCCTTAGTTCAGAAACTGAGGTGTTCTTAATTATTTATTTACGCTTTTTATACCCTCTTCCTTTCCATTCAGTTGAACAATTCAGACAGCTAACATGTTTTAAAAATACTGTAAACAAATGAAAAAGAAGAGACACTTAAATTAGGGACTAATGTTATATATGGACCCGGCTTTTGGGTTTTGACAGCACAATGTGTGACCCAGCTATTATGGTTTGTAAATCATGGTTTATGACTTACTAGGTTATGCAGAACAGTGTGCTAACCTAATAGCGTGCAGGATCAAACTGAATCTTCCCAATCTTACTCTCCATCTAAACTAAACTACAGTAGAATTTAGGAAATATATCCCTCCAGCATAAGAGATTGTCTTTCTGCTTTACAGATGCTGGCTGGCTTGTCATGCTTCTCCAGCTAATCTGAGTAGCTACCTGACTCTAGCAAAGCTGCAGATGTTTACCCTTATCTCTAGGGCACCTAACAAGATAGAGCCCATGCTTTAATATAGGCAATCACCTATATTCAATGGAGGCTCTGAAAGCCTGATTAAATATATTAACAATGCAATCTTACATCTATCTAGAGTTGAATTCTGCTAAGCACAACGAGACATACTGTAAGGTAAAGAGCAGGGCTGCAGCTTCAGGCATGGGATGCAAAAACAAGTCTGCCTTTCTTGAATGAGCTCCAGCCTTTCAAGCTCCCTCCATGCACAATGGTTGCCTTTCCAGGATCAGAGACAGCCAGAAAAGAATGCTAGGGATATGCTTGGGGAAGCTGTAAATGAATAGGACTGATAGTCCTCCTGTGCCCTGGAAAGGAGAGAAAATTCTTGATACTTGTACAGGTTGTTTCCCTCCAATGACAATCTTTGAAATGGGAAGTGATTACGTAAGGAGAAAGGCAACCCTTCTTTTTTTTTCACCCTACCAGCGCTTTGGATATGGTAGTTGTTCTTCCTCTAGATGCTTCCCCACCCTTTTACTGGTAAGATTGCTGTGCCCATGTTCTGAAGAAGGTGGGCTTGAACAACTTTTCTGTCTTGGGTAAATTAAAGACAAATGTTGCAGAGTGACCTTTATACATTTTGCTTATAGTTAAGTGTTGCTTTAGAGAGATCAGTGAATTATCAACATGGCTAGTGATCATCCTTGAGAGTTTAGGAATGTGGCTAAATATTTATCCACAAATTTTCCCAAACTATCAGTCAATACATTTTACTTTTTTTCCAACTAAAGTCCATGACACATGCATATTACAATGAAGCAATACAGAAACGCAAGACAAATTATCCATGGCTATATTGGAAAAAGAGGTTGAAATAGATACCTCTTTAATTTACATTAAGTCTGCATCTCCAATACATTTTATAAGAAAGACTGGTGGGAGCTACAACAAAATCTACTATAAGAAATAGGGAACAGTGGCTGATCATTTTTATTCTATTTGTATTAGATGTTACAAGGAAAACCTTTAATGTGCACTGTGCAACCTTCATTCTCACTTTCTACCAGCCTATGAGCTGATAATGTGAGGCAAAACCAGCACAATTATATCATATGGTAGCTGTTGTAGTAACTAATACAAACAAGGAAAAAAGAACAAAGAGTTGTAGGACAGTAGCATTCTATGAGTCTAATAACATCTTCTTTTTAATATTGCATATGTATAAAGACACAAATATTCTATAGCTTTAGCTTTTTGCTGTGTTGATGCTATTGTGATTCTGAGCAGCAGACCACCAATCTAGAGAAGGGCAACATTAGAGGTAAGATAGTGGAGGAACAACCTGGTTAAAGTAAGCAATACAAGTCCTTGCTAGAGGTTTGCTTGGAGGCTGTGACATCTGGGAATCAGGCACACAGCTCTCTGTGTGTATGTGTGTGTGTGCGTGCCTTCAAGTCAGCGTTGACTCCTAGCAACTGCCTGGACTAGTCCATGTAGTTTTATTGGCAGCATGTTCAGAACTGTCTTGCTATTGCCTTCTTCCTAGGGCTGAGGGAGAGTGACTCACCCAAAGTTACCCACCTGGCTTTATACATAAGGTGGGACTAGAACTCATGATCTCCCAGTTTCTACCTTGTTGCCACACCCAAAGGATTCCTAGATTGCTCACTAGTTCTATTTTGGGGAGTATAACCTCATCTAGAACCAAAGGTAAAGAGTTCCCAGATTCAAAAACCCACAGCCACTCATCCTTGCTAGGGCTGAGCTAAAACCTGTTATTCCCCATTCAGACTCCCACAGACTCCAGATACTGGGAAAGAACCTAGACAGCATCAGGGTACAGATGCATAAATCAGTATTATTGGCATATTGATGATATCTGACCCCATATGGATTGATGACCTCACCGTGTGGCTTCATGTAGATGTTAAATAAAAGCAGAGATAGTAGAACCCTGGGGAACCTCACAATGCAGGGACTTTGGGCTGGATCTCTCCTCCCCCCCCCCCCGAATATGGAGTAGAAACAGCCATGGAGGAAGGGCAGGAACCAATGTAACATTGTACCTCCCATTCCTAAGCTTTGAAGCCATTCTAGAAGGATACCATGATTGGGTACTGAAAGCTACCAAGAGATCAAGAAGAACTAGCATGGATGTACTACCTCCATCCCAGTTCCATCAGAAGTAATCTAAAAGTGCAGTCAATATTGTCTCAGTTCATATGGATGCAAATACATATGTATTCTGCCAAAGGCTTACTATAGGTATTGAGTTACTTTGAGCATATATATTGAGTTAAGAGAAGTATTAATTTTTGAATTATTTTGCTTCATTAAGGTCAACTACCAAAACAATCCAGTTTCACACAGTAACGCAAAGATATAGGTAATATTTTCAAATTGGCCTGAAATGATATATGCTGTCCAGGGCAGCCTCAAGAAAGGCAAGTCAAAAACTGGGGGTAAAAATCCTTGATAAAATTAAAAATATGTACCTTTTTAAGACAGGGAATTTGTAGAGAAAAAGTATCAATTGTGCAATGCCCTTCATGGCAGGGTAACCTTTATGGGTTATGATTCCAGACCCATATCATTACATTTTCCTGTTATCTATAGGTTTAAAAACACTTTTTTTTAAAATAGAAGTTATATAAATCAGTATGACAATCGATTTCATCCAGCAAGTTTTAAAACTGGCCAAGTCACTACAGAAAGGAACATGGATAAAAAGGAAATTAAAAACTGTTGTACATTATGCAGGGAGGTGAAATCATGTTAATGATCTGTAGAAATATGTGAGAGGAAGTGAGATGTTTGAATGTAAAGCTTTGTAATACTGTACAAACTTTCTATGGAATGTTCCTTTTAAAATATTTTTCCTGGGGTTAGTAAATAAGTAACACTGGTTATCACTTAGCCATAGTTAAAGTTGTTTGTGATTATGCACTCCCTCTTCAGACAAGAGCCCCTTTTTGCCTTAATCCCAGCTAAGTGTTAATGTAGAATAAGATTGATCAATGTTACTCCAACCTAAATATTTCTGGTTCTTTAATCACTGCAACTAGATCATCACAAAAAACAAAGCAGTAGGTACTTTACCAGTAAGTACATAATCGTAATGATTGACATTGTTTAGTTTCAGTCCTTCATACAGTTCATGAAGTTCATTTGAATTTAATACCTGTCCCTTCCAATGATCATAACCTGAACAAAGAAAGAAAACAGAGACTTAGTGGTATTATATAGCAGTTAGGTTCATGGATTTCATTTAAAGCTAACAAAGTCTACAACATGGAGATAACAATGGCCACTAAGCAATACACATGATATAATTTTGACACTTCAAAAGAAATCTATTGCAATAATATTGTTATCCTAAAAATAACAATGAGGCCTGGGAAAAAATAAATATTTTAAAATTAGGGTTTGGGAGAGATTTTTAATACCAAAACTGGGGGAAAAAAGCTTTTAATGCTGGGAAAAAAGTTACTTAACACTAGTCACTGCATTTGGGCCACTCAATAAAAAGGGAGTTCTAGGGGCCAGAAAAGGACATTATGGAAATCATGAATTATCCAGCCCAGTTTTATAACATGAGACAAAGATCAACCTTTAGCTTTTAACATTAACAAACATTAAGATTAACAAAGGGTCCATAACCACCCCTTCTTGGATAATGGATAATGGCTATCATTTGTTGGGTTTGGAGGTTCAGGGTGGTGACAGTGGACACCACTCACACCAGAAAAGTCCCCATTACAGCAATACTGAATGTGCTAAAAATCTACCAACATTAAGAAAACATATAGAAAGAAAGCACACTCTTGGGGTAAAGACACTCTGCCTGTGTTTTGGTCTGTTGCTGGAGGAAGTCAGTAGCTTTCACTGCTACTGCTGATATGCTAACTCCACACATGATCATCCTTTTACAGTGAGTGCAGACAGGTCAGACAAGTTAAGTGAATCTTTATTTGATGCTGTAGCCTTTGAAATAGTTTCATGCATTTCAACACAGTACCACTGCCAATATTCTTGAATAGTAATGGCTGGAAATGGACAGGCTTGTAGGTGATGATCCATTACTTTCTCAATCAACGCATTTATTTTTGCAGATGAAATAAATCAACATTAACATTCTGTTAACATTGTTATACTTTGGAGTTTTTAAAAAATGAAATTGGAAAATCTGCCATATTCCAAAACTGAAAGCATAAGGTAGTGTTTTTCAAGTTTTATGAGGCATGAAATCCATCAACTTATAATGATAATTATCCATCATAGCTTTGGAACCAAATTCAATCACTAGGCTTCTCTGACCCCTTCTTATTAAACTACTTGCATTTTGGGTCCTGACAGTACAAAGGTTCAAAGATGCATACACAAGCTGTGCCAAGAATACTTATGAATAAACATTGGGAGGGAGGGAATGCTACAAGGCATTCAAGGACACAGTATCATATTGTGAACAACAGAAAGTATTGGGTAAGCAGGAAATAGGTCAGCACACTAATCTTTTATCTTTAGAAACAAATATTCAAAATTCTGCTCTTATCCCTCAGAAAAGAGAAAGTTATCCTTTGCATTTTAATTACATTTTCCTTAATTTAGTATAGGTAGACACTTTTGTCTAATTAACACTATTTTTCAAGATAGACCCGATTCTGCAAAAACAGAAGTAGCTGGCATCTACTTTTACATTTTCAGTTTAAGCAGACAGGACTCTGCTAGCCAAATGCATTAGCTAAACTATTCTAAAAGGTAAAGTCAGAGAATTATTTATAGTTGAGAAAGTTTTTATCAAGTATAGTTAAATCTACCAGATCAAGGTCACAAAAATAACTTTATCATGCTCGTATATAATAATTTAGAAAAGAAAAATACTTATATTCTTCATCTACTTGCAATATCACCTAATCCAGGGGTCTTCAAACTCTTCAGCTCATCACCTCCTTCCTGAAGTTTCAGATTGTTCATCAACCCCCATGCTACTTTTACTAATGGTACTACTAATAATAATAATCCCCCAGTGAGACACTACCTTGATGTGGTTGTGGGTCTTGTGTGCTCTGAGGAGGATGAGAGCTATGGTTCAACCATACTGGATAGGTCTCATCAGAGGGCCAGATGAAGAGTGTCTTTCCCATAAACAATATGGTAAGATGCAATTTATAGAAACCTATACCAGATCAATCATTGCCCAGGTCAACAAGGACTGCGCTAGGTGTTCTACTTCCTGGACATCTGGTGACAAGTGGGCTAGAGAACTCAGAACTGTTGGCTAAGCAACCAGGGCCAGCAGCTGCAGGACTACTGGAAGAAAAATTGTTTACCCATCACAAATATATGAAGACTGAAAACAAAGAAATAATGATCTGCTATTACAAATCAAGTCTAACAAGAGGAGGATATCTGAAAAGAATGCACCAGTTCTGGAAAGAACAATATCTAGAATCAGAAATAACAGCAGAGGCTAGCAGATCAACGTTGATTTATAATGCATAATAAAGTATTCACAGAAGTAGAATTAGAAGAACTGCAAAGGTCTACCCAGGGCATAGAAACTGAAGCCTTGCCAGAAGTAGCTCAGACTGTACAGGCAAACCAGGAGGAGTTGGCAGTAGTGGAAGCCAGTATAACTATTGAATTGTTGTCATTCCCAAACCAGGCACCCTCTTCTCTGCCTTCTCCTCAGAAAAAACAAAGCCCTCTAACTAAAAAACAAGAGAAATTGAAACACAGTAAATGAGCATCTAGAATAGCACAAAAAAGAACAGAATAAGGTTGCCTGCATTGAAGCTTGTTACAAAGAAGCAGCCAGCACAAGTATTAAAAGAGGCCAATACTGTAATATCAAATATAAGCACCAGCTCACTGCAAGAAACAAACCAACTAATGTACAGCACAGCTGCAGTTATAACTGAATACCTTGGATGCAAAATCAACAAG